AGCGGTGATGCTCCACGTGATTGCTGTGAACAGCTGTATACACTCGTGAACGGAGTGACGGGGGAGGTAGAAGGCGATATCAGCCTTGACACTCTGCCCGCTGCAGATGCTCTGCTAGAGCTGGACGAGATGTCCATTGCCGAGTTCGGCGAAGCCTTGAAGGCAGGCGAGCTAGCCGAGGTGGTCCTGCTGGGACCTGAGGAGGAGTTGAACTCCTCATCCGTCGTGAACGACGCGGTCCTAGAGGACACCAAGAAGGCGCTGAGCGCAAGAAGTGGATCGGCGATCCTCAAAGATCCTTCGGATCCCTTCTACCCGGTGGTGAAGGAGTATGGAGACGTTGTCTCAAAAGACCCACCGACGGGCCTGCCTCCGGATCGAAGCGTGTGTCATGAGATTGACCTGGTTCCTGGAACCAAATACTGCGTAACAAGGCAATGGCCTTTGCCGAGAGAGCAGTGTGACGTCATTGACGCATTCTTCCGTGCGAAGCACAAGGCAGGGATGGTGCGTGAGAGTAAGTCTCCGCACTCGAAACCCACGTTCTGTGTCAGAAAGCCGAATGGCAAGTGGCGCGTTGTTCATGCTTTTAACAAGCTAAATGCGGCCACTATCCCGGCGCAAACGCCGATTCCTCGCAAGGATGTTCTGCAGAACAACATGGTAGGCTGTACGTTGTACAGCGTGCTCGACTTGGTCGATGGCTACTTCCAATTGCTCATGAGAGCGAGCGACATTCCGCTGACAGCGGTGAGTACTCCGAGCGGTATGCTCTGGGAGTGGCTGGTGATGCCTCAGGGGCTGTCGAACGCACCAGCAACGTTCAATCGTCTTGTGACGCAGTTGTTTAGGCCCCACCGGGCGTACGCTCAAACGTACTTTGACGATATATTCGTCCATAGTCGTGCTGAGCACGGAAAGTCAGACGTGGAAAACCACATTGACCACTTGCGAGCGGTGCTCGAGTGCATGCGCACTAATAAGCTGTATGCCAACTTGGATAAGTGCGTCTTTGGCGCGGAGGAAATACCTTTCCTCGGGTGCTTCATTGGGAAGCGTGGCTTAAGGGCAGATCCTGTCAAAGCCAAGGCCATCGTGGACTGGCCGGTTCCCAAGAACCAAAAAGACTTACGCAAGTGGCTAGGCTTAGCCAATTACATGCACAAGTACAGCGCGAACTACGCGGAGATGGCTCGGCCATTATCAGATCTCCTTAAGAAGGACGCACCATGGTGCTGGAACGTCGAGCACGACGGAGCCTTTGAGGCTGTGAAGGAGAGTCTTCTCCAGGCTCCGATCCTTGCGCTACCGGACCCGGATAGTCCGTTTAGCGTCGTCTGTGACGCCTCCGATTTTGCAATCGATTGTGCTTTACTACAAGCAGACGCCGAAGGGCGTGAACGCGTGATCGCGTTTGAGTCTCGCCAGCTCAAAGCTGCAGAGAAGAACTATCCAGCTCATGACAAAGAGCTACTTGCAATGAAGTATGCTCTAGTCAAATTCAGGGTACACCTGCTAGGCTCTAAGCCTTTTGTGATCTTAACTGATCATGCGTCGTTACGCACTGCGACACAGTCGCCTCATCTCTCTCAGAGAATGGCAAGATGGCTTTCCTTCTTTGCCGAGTATAACTTCGAGGTGAAGTACAAGCCGGGGCGGCTTAATGTAGTGGCCGATGCGCTCTCACGCAGGCCGGACTACGAGTTAGCTCATGTCACGACAATGACGTCGTCAGTGCCTGACTTGATACGCGGAGCGTATGCACAAGACGACATGTGCGTAGCGCTGCTACGGGCTCTTGGGAGCGAAGAGTTTAAAGACTCTGACAAGGAATTGTCTGGGCGCTTACGCGCGAGGCTGCATCGATACTCGCTCGATGGCGGCCTGCTGTACTACAGCACCGACTCTGAGGATAACCCTCGTGTAGTCGTTCCTCATGACGAGGATCTAAAGTATCGAATCCTCTATGAGGTTCCTGATACGCCCGTGGGCGGGCACTTAGGTCGGGAGAAGACCTATGGCTCGGTGAGCTCGATGTACTGGTGGCCCAAGATGTATAAGTGGGTCGGCACCTATGTACGCACGTGTGAGACGTGTCAACGGACGAAGTCCGCGCCGAGCACGGCAGCGCCATTGGCGAGTTTGCCTGTTCCCAAGGGATGTTGGCAGTCCATGAGTATGATCTTTGTGTTTGGCCTTCCCAAGGACAGGGCAGGAAACACGGGTATTGTGGTCTTTGTAGACCGATTGAGCAAGATGGCTCATCTAGCGGCAGTGCCGGACACCATAGATGGTGAAGGTACAGCTTTGCTGTTTTTAGACCGAGTCTTTCGCCAACATGGCTTGCCTGAGGCATTTGTCTCGGATCGAGACCCGCGCTTCACCGCGAAGTTCTGGACGTCCCTCTTCAGAGTGCTTGACACTCGTTTGGACATGTCCACAGGGGACCATCCGCAGACCGATGGTCAAGCCGAGCGCGTGAATCGCGTTGTGGAGGATACCCTCCGAAGCGTATGCGCTGAGGCGCCAAAACGCTGGAGCCAGATGCTCCCACTCGTTGAGTTCGCATTAAATAATGCAGCACGCCTCGACAGGCTACACCCCGTTCTATGTGAACGGCTTGGTTAACCCTCGCGTCCCACTGACGCCGCCACGCAGTGGCTCAGGGCTTGATGAGCCGAGCGGCTAGCTGATGTCAGCCCTGTTGCGGCTCGCAAGCAAGTCAATGACTTTGTCTCTTTGAGATTAAGTGTAATGCGTCAAGTACGCGACGCTATGGCTGAAAGCCAAGACATGCAAAAAGAACATGCAGATGCCAAAGGCAGACGCAATGAAGAAAGGTTTGAGGTCGGAGACCAAGTTTTATTAAATGCAAAAAAACTACCTACTCATGCAGCGTCTGCAGTCTTTAAGACAAAATTGAGACCACGGTTCATAGGACCGTTCAAGGTCGTGGCCAAGAAGGGCCTAGCGTACACGCTTAACCTTCCGAAGAAGATGCGCACGCATCCAGTCTTCTACGTTGGCTTACTCAAGCCGTATCAGGACCCTGCTCAGGTGAGCGCGGAGGCGTTGGCGCCAACGGTGGCTGGGCCACGACAGGCTGCGCAACAGCGGGAGGCCGAGCCACGGCAGGCTGAGCGACAGCAGGGGGCGGGGCCACAAGACGCAACAGCAAGTCGATCTGACCTTGCAGCTGAGCGACTTGACGCTCAAGGTCCGCGACTCGGTTCTGAACCGACTGTGGTTGTTTTAACCAGTCCACGCGGTGGTTCGTCTCATCGAGACCATCTGCAAGGCGACTCAGAGAGTCAGTCTTATCATGGAGATACTGGTTCAGAGAACCCACACGTTGCCCCAGCGCGAACACGTCGCTGCGACTCGCGACGCGAGAGTCCAGCTGAGGCTCGGCCTCCTCCTGCTCTGCTCGACGAGCACGGCGAGCTTTACTTCCATGTGGAACGCCTGGTGGCGAGACGCAGGCGCCAGGGTCGTACTTCGTACCTTGTGAAATGGAGGGGTTATCCTCACTCACAAAACTCTTGGAAGTTTGAGGTTGTCCTCCGGCGGGACTGCCCTGACGTCGTCGACGCTTTTGATCGGGCACACTCACTGCCCCGCCGCTACGGCGTACGACAGAGTCGTCAGGCGCCGAGCGCTTCCCGCCGCTAGAACGCGGGGATGACAGGTCGGTGGCTGAGCTCAAGCTCCGACCAGTGGCTGGAGCAGCCGGCTCATAGGAATGAGCGGTGCTCGCAGCATGAGCAAGAGGTGATGACGCCTCGAGGTGATGGGGACGGGGTTCCAGTGTTCGTCGACGTGCTTTCGACTTAGCGAAGTCTACGCGCAAACGTCTCTCAAGACGAATATCAGTTTCAGAGAAACTTGCTCGAAGAGCATTGTAGGAGGGGAGCCGTCGAGCTCCCTCCACCCAGCTTCGGAATTGTGCTTCATAAGCACGCTTGGATTCCCCAGGGTTGAGAACAACCGGGATGGTTCGCATAGAGGGAACCGGTTGGCGGTTGAGCTGCATCTGCAGGCGCGCCTGATACTCCTGAGGAGTTGTGACTTGTGGAGTCAGATATCGCTCTTGGGCCGGTGCCGTTGCACTTGCTCATCAGCAGTCGAGGCCGCAGGCCCACAAGTGTACGTGTTCAGCGGCTGCTGCGCCGCGAGGCGGGCCGCTTCGGCAGGTTCCGCGGCTGGAAGCCGTAGTCACGGCGTGACGTTAGAACAAGTGGTCGGACCACAGGTCGGAACGACTGCGAGCGCTGCTCATTGGACAACTGACGGCCTTGGGCCTCGTCCAGGTCATTCGTAATGACGTTGTGATCGTATCGATCTTCCTCGTCATACCGCGACGATAGCGGTGGCGCATCGCGCAGCGAGCGAATCGGATTCGAACGTTCAGAGAACGGATGCGGTGTCCGCAGGTCTTTTCTTGTTTGAGATCGCGCCATTGAGCGGCTAGACCTCACAGAGGAAGCTGGGGAAGACGCGGCACCAGTGTGCGACCTCGGAGAGGCTGGGTTGGAGTGATCCTCACTACCCATGGGCTCGTCGTAATCGACTTCGCCCTCTTCGAATTCCGAGAACAGACCATCGTTCCCTCTGGGCGGCGCCCGCGGCTCTGACGAGCTTTGAGCTTTGCGCTCTTCTTGTTGACGGCTCATGGAGCGTTGACCGTGTCGACGGCGATACTCTTAATGGTACTCTGCCACCGAAAGAGACGAAGATGCTCTTGGAGCAGTTGCGGAGCGCAGTTGGGGGTCTGGGACCGACGAGGCAGGGGCGGCGCGACGCGCTGGAGACGTTGGGCCGTGGGCCGGAGTGAAAGTGCCAGGCATCAAGGATGCAAACGCGTTTGTGAGCTCGTGGAGCTGCAGAACGCAGAGGTGAGGTCTAGTGACCTCCGTCGTCTTGACAAGACGTGACCTCGCTGAGGAAAGTTCGAGAACGGAATGTTCTCATCTTAGTGAGGGAGAGTGTAACGGGGTTACATGGTGTGGAACACACAGGGGTACGAAGTACCCGGAGAGTTAACAAACTCTCAGTACATAAGTTGGAGAGTTAACAAGGTCTCTCAGTACGTTGGCTGAAAGCCACACGTTATGCATTTGATTAGGTTTAACTATGCTAGATAGTTAAACAGATACATTTACCCCTACGCGGCTTGGCCGCAATAATAGTAAATAAAACACCTCTGGTTTTGAAGCATAAAGTTAAGGTATTAACTTTGAGCCCTGGTCTTGGACTGTAAGTGTCCTTTGGATAAGGAACTTAGTATTAGTGACTCTTTGAGTCGAACGTCTTCCTCTGACGCTAAAGCTACGGCAGCCCCGCTGCACGCTACCTCTCATTCAGCGCCGAGTCAGTGCCCTTGAACACTCCAATAGCACACATGTGGTGTGTGAGCTTCCCACACACGCTGCACGGGTCCGTCTTAAGCCCATCGTCTTCTTGGCAGCCTTTTACCAGCACAACCCATGCTCACAAGCAGTCTGACAGTTTGGTTTTAAATGGGAGAATGGCAATCTCCCTGCAACGAGGGACGAGAGCCACTCAGTTCCGGATCCTTTGAAAGTAGTAGTCTGAAAGTACTATAGTACCCCCTCGAGTGAGTAATACTAATACTCATAGCTAATACCGTACATTGGGTATTAATAGTAGTAGTATTAGTATTACCCAAGATTACTATTTTCAGAAATACTGTTAACCCCTGCTGATGTGTCCAGCATCGTATGGTCCCCGTCGACAGATACAGCAGCCAAATTGCTCTTCTCGCACGTTAAAACTCGGTATCGACACTAGCATTTTATCTCACTCTCTTTTCATCTAGCGGAAGTGCACCTAGTTAGAAATCTTCGCATGGTATGGCGTGTCGTTAGAGCATCTTCAGCGGCAGGTCTTAAAGGCGGGTTTATCCTAAAAGTAGCACGGCTAGACCTCGGACGACTTTTAAAGCATCCAGCGGTGAGTCTTAACACGGGTCTTAACTTCACGAGGTCCTAACGGATGAGACTCCGGGCTTAAAATAAGACTCGAGTTTTATCGCTTCAGACACGAATCGTCGCTGGGAAGATCACAGAGGTATGAGGAAGGGTTCCGTGTGGAGCGAGCACGAGACTGTGCAGCTCTGTCTTGCATGGCTTGCGACTTCAGAGGACCCAATCCGTGGTGCAGGTCAGAAGAAGGCATCACTCTTTGAGCGTGTTTATTAGCAGTGGTGCAAAAAAACGTCGGTCCTGACGCCGATCTTCGCTCGGAAACAGCCATAGCAGGCCGGTGGAAGAAGCTTCTTCCTGAAGTGACTAAGTTCGAGGGAATTTTTACTAAGCTAAAGAGCCAACCACGGTCGGGTTGGAGTGAGCCGATGTACGTCGAGAACACGGCGAAGATATACCAAGAGCGCACGAAACATCCGTTTGAGTATCTGGCGGCGTTGAAGGGGCTGCGTGATAAGCCGAAGTGGACCAGGAAATTGACTACTTCTATTCATGCTGGCAACAAACGCAAGACGGGTGACGGTGATTTGGTTGCGCGTCCAGAGGGACAGAAAGCGGCCAAGAAGAAGAAGGCTCGGGATGACACCAACTTACCCGTCGATGCGCACATGCGCTTTGTCGCCGCGTCCGAAAAGAAAGCAGATATATTAGAGCAGCAACTTCACTTTAGCCTATTCATACAATCACCTGACAGCGAGGAGTCAACAGAGTACTTTGCTCTCCGCCGCAAAACTTTTCTTGCGCAGCTACGAGCTGCAGATCGTGAAGCTGCTGGGTGTCATAACACCAGGTTGGCCGATCATGAAGAGAATCGAAGTGGCTCTCGCGGAACCAGCGACGTTATCATTGCGCAAGGATCGATTGATCAGTTGTTGGGAAGCCCACAGAGCTCATCAGACAAAGAGAACAGCCCGAACACAGAAGCTAGTTTTCGAGCATCGGCGATGTTGTAGTTGCATCAACGTCTACGACGGCCTCCTTTCTCACAATTTTAAAACATTTGCCATATGCTTTCTACCAGGTCGTTCTTTAAAGCATAATGCAAGTTTTCATCTTCCACGGCAAGGAGCTCTTGTATAATTTTTGTGACTGGGCATGTTTCATGCTGTGTTGGTGGTGCCGGGTTACCCAGCCATCCTTGTACATATACTTGTTGTTCAAGGTACTGTCACCAGTTTTATCTTCGATGATCATATTATGGAGAATGATGCAGGTCATCGCAACGGATCCCATCGTATTCACACTCCAAAGTTTGCAGGGTACAGCTAGAATTCGAAAGCGCTGTTGCAGCACGCCAAAAGCGCGTTCGACATCTTTTCGAGCCGCTTCGTGAACTGCTTTGTATTTCGAATACCTTTGGATGATTGGCTCAGCGACACTTTGCTGGAAAATTGCCCAAGCTGGGTAAATACCATCCGTCAAGTAGTACGCTCGGTCATACACTGCACCATTAACACTGAACGCTACAGTCGGGGCTTCACTGTTTACCAAGTCGTCTAACAGTGGTGAACCAGAACATTTAAGTCGTTATTAGAGCCTGGCGTCCCAAAAAATGCGTGCCATATCCAGAGAGATTGCGACGCCACAGCCTCTAGGATTACCGTTTTGGCCTTCTCCTTTCCCTTGAAAGCTCCTGCCCACGCTACGGGACAGTTCTTCCACGCCCAATGCATGCAATCGAGGCTTCCAATCATCCTAGGGAGCCCACGAGCAGCACTTTTTGCTAAAAGTATCTTTAAGTCAAATGGAGTCGGCTTTCGAAGGTAGTCAGGCCCGAAAATACGCATCACAGCGCTGCAAAACTTTTCCATTGTAGGGAGTACCGTAGATTCGCCAATGCCTATCAGCTCATCAAGTTGATCCGCACATGCACCGTAAGCGAGCATACGTAGGGCACAAGTTACCTTTTGATCTGGTAGAAAGCCTAGAAGACCAGTAGCATCGGGTCTCGGTGTAAAATAGTTGCTTTCAGTGTCCTCCACAAGAGCATAAACAACTCGCTCAAAAACCTCACGACGCATTCGAAACCTCCGTCGAAAGTCTCCTACGTCAGTACAGCACATCAGCACATTCTCATGTGTACGCAATAGCATTAAAATCATGATCTCGTACGGGCATCATAGGTTGGATTGTCCCCGAAGTAGTCTGACATAAGCTCTTCCCCCCACTTTGATCGTTTTCGCTCCTTGTCGGCACGCTTTTCAGGCTCTGAACCCCCGTGCTTGCGCTTGGCCTTTGTTTGCGTCTCTGGCAGGATAAACAACCGAAAGTACTCGTAATCCGAGTCGTCTGCGTTCTCCAAAGCCCCCAACATCGACGGTGGGAGCGACATCGACCTGGAAGAAGATTCAGGGACTGCTGGTTAAGACTTACGGCTGGCAAAACGGAGAGACTCGTAGGTCTTATTTTAAAACTCAGGTCCTAACACTCCCGAAGCGTCGCCGTTAAGCCTTAGGATAAGACTTGCCGCTGGAGATACTCATAGGACTCATCGTCATCAAATTTGCCGTGGTCCAAGGTACATCGCTCTGGTGTATTTCTCTGACGACTTCGACTGGGCAGAGAATCCACAAATTCATCCAATGAAACATCTTGATTGGTGGCTGAGTTCCAGATCTCTACCCAAGGAATTCGCCTTCCTCGTCGTGTATCGCCCATCTTACTCTAAAGTACAGCCGAGTTGCGTTAGTAAACTAAAAGCACTCGATGTTATTAAGCGACTATGCTCATACCCGGGTAGCGTGGGCGGGTCGTTCATTGCGGTAGACGCCTGTTGAATATTCTGAAGTGAAGCGATGCGTCTCCTTGTGGTCTTTTATTGCGTTGATTTAAATGTACCAGTACGAAACGACCACAATTGCATGTTTATATATAGCTTGCTGTACTAATAGTGATGAAATCTCCCAAATCACTGGTGATTCATCCGAATAGAATGGTAGGTGATCCCTCCCGATTTAATGGTTATGGATTCCTTTTCTCTGGTGATTGTACAGTACAGTCGTGCACCTCCAATTCGGCACCGGTATCAGTCGATACCCTGCCAGATTTTATGATTACGCGAATCGGATGCGCAATTACCTTTGCCCATCACCACCCTAGCAATTAACCTCAACGGTTTCCCCCTCCTCGCCGAGGGATGACACGCCGCATCGATCTGATTTAAAGTTTTGGATCGGACGTCCTCATACAAACACACACTTTGATTTTCACCGCCAAAGACAATGGGACATCGCCCTTCCTCCTACATGTGACACAAAAGCAGTCTTTGCGCGAGAAGCACAAGTCAGATCCTGCATGCTCTCACGCCGAACTTGCTCGTTGGGCAACGGAGCACTTTAAGACCCCCCAAGCCGTAAAGCGCACTACCGTCCAGAGTATTCTTACGCGGTCGGCGGAAGTTGCCGCCTTGCCGGACGCCTATCGCGACCGGAAGCGCTGTTGCGCGCCCGCGATTCGCGCGTCTGACGCCAAAATTATGCCGAAGATTGGCGTAAATCTTGTACTGAATTAACAAAAAAACTGTGCACTGGATTTGCGTTCGTTTTTTGCTTTACGTTGTACACTTATGCCCTGGCACTGTTGATATGGTCCGCCCTGCCGAATTGGAGGTGCACGACTGTACCAATATTCGTGGTGTTAAAGCACCTCACTCGCCCAAAACCCGTGCACTTTCTGAGCGTGCGTATGCGTACCAGTCTCTCCTGCACAATTTTATTTTTCTGTCACAGAATATTTACGAATAATTTAATACAAGTGCCGGTGGAGATGTCGTTAAGTAAACGCATTAGCTGTAAAGTTTATCTTAGCGCATAATGTACCCCACGTAAAAGAATTTACCGTCTTAACTTAATTTTAACTACATGTAACGTTTTATTAATAACAGAAGTCAATCCACCGTATAAGCACATTCCTCGTCATACGTAGTACTACTCTGCAAAATATTACAGTTTCACCCATGCACCGACATTTTCCTAACTAGCTACTCCTTGGTCACCTCAATGATGATCTTGCCCTTCGCACGGTGCGACATACAGATCTTCATGGCCTCCACCAGGTTCTCCAACGGGTGCACCGAGTCGATGATGATCTTCACCTGGCCGGCTTCAATCAACTTCTTCAGCTCCAGTAGATACTCCGTGCATGGCGCGTTGAAGATCTGGTTTTGCGTGGCGCCAATGGAAGACTCGATCGGCTTGTCGATCATGCCGATGGTCACAAAGATACCGGTCTGCTCCTTAAGCACCTTCTGTGCCGCGTCGCTCCACGACTGAGACTCCACGCCGCAGTCGTAGATGAGGTCCACCGAGTGCTCGGCCAGTACCTCACTCCACTTGGCATTCGTGTAGTCGATGACCTGGTCAGCACCCAGTGACTTGACCAGCTCCACGTTGCGGTGACTGCATGTAGCAACGACCTCAGCACCAAGTGCCTTGGCGATCTGGATGGCGAACAGACCCGTGCCGCTGCTGCCGCCCAAAATGAGCACACGCTGACCCTTCTGGAGTTTGCCGTACGTCACCAGTCCCTGCCAGCTCGTCTGACCGGCAAGAGGCACACCCGCGGCCTCGTTGAACGTCATGTTGCTCGGCTTGTGTGCCACACGCTTCGTGTCCACGTTGATGTACTCGGCGAATGTGCCGGTGGCGTCGAACCACGGCATGGCGAACACCTCGTCGCCCACCTTGTAGTCCTTCACGTCACTTCCGACTTCCACCACCTTACCGGACAGGTCGTGGCCCACACGGTACGGGTGCTCGGGCGATGCCATGGTGGATAGGATCATGGACGCGTAGAGTCCGATCTTACAGTCGATAGGGTTGAGCGAGGCACTGAAGACCTTGATCTTGACTTCGTTGGCCTGTACGGGCTTCTGCTGGCGGGGTTGAACTTGATCTCGTCGAGGAAGTCACCGAAGTGCTGGTACTCGTACGCTTTGAACGTGGCAGGGATGGCGGCCATGGTTAGTGATGGGGTGTTATTAGCTTGTTGATGGACTTGTTGTCGAGAACGCTATTTGAAGAATGAAATGAAGGTTGCACAGGTCCCTCGGGGCTTGATTTTGATATGTAGTGATGATGCGACTACCTTTGTTCACAATGGGCGTCGTGCTAATCACGAGGGCTTTGAATCTGAAAGTTGATGCGCCAAACTATACTTTTCTCAGCTGTAGATTGGCCCTACTGCCAGTTCTGGTTCATAACTTCTGGACTGGGTGATGTGTTTTCATCAGCGAATGAGTTTCATGTAGGTAAAAGGCGAGGTTTACTAATTCTCTGTTAAGGCATAGTTACAACTACCGGTGTTAATAAAGCTTAGATACATGAACACTTGTGGTGAAAAGCTGCAGGCTTTGAAGCTAAAGTATCTAGATAAATTTAAAAAGTATGTACCGGAAGGAAGTCTTACATAAAAGAATGGTTATAAAAACAAACAGGTGCCCGTCATTTCCTGAAAAGAGAAAAGCATTTACTAAAAAGCTCTAATATAGCACCGGATGCAAATCCCTCGTTCTATGGACTCCAACTTGGAATCCAAGAGGCTGCAGCTCAGTTGGGAGGAGATGAAGTTGAAGCTGCCCGGAACTCAGATTACAAAAAGCTATTACAAAGTACTTGTACCTATTTTAGTTTTGAAACATTACCCGCACATAGTATCCCAGCGCTACTAATCATATACTTCATACATGTAGTATCCCAGCGCTACTAATCATAAGGGAAACTTCCAATTCGAGGCCGGTTGATCTATTCGAGGCCGGTGTGATATTAGCCAACGCATTC